CTCCTCTTTTAAATGTAAGTTGTTGCTTCAGAACTGGCCTCCGTCAACACCTGAACTAAGGATAGGGAGTAAAGTAGTTGAACATGTCGACAATTTCAATTATCTTGGAAGTGTGATCACACTTAATGGGTTGGTGTCTGACGGAATCTGTGAACTGATTAAGAAAGCTCGCTTCCCTTTTTCTAACTTACAACTCTATCCTCGGAAATCCTTTCCAGTTGTTATTCATCCTTTCCATATCTGCTTCTATTTACCGGCTTGATGTGTTCTTTGGTCCTCCTCTTTTCCGTTTCCCTTCAGGATTCCAATTTAGCACTTGCCTCGTGATCCATTTTGATTAATCCTGAAATGTACATTCTATCCGCTTCTATCGTCTTTTCCTTATATACTCTTCAGTTGGAACCTGGTTTGTTCCCTCCCACAGTAGGCTGTTGCTGATAGTATCCGATCAACGGACATTGAGCATATTAAGTAGACAACTGTTTATAAATACTTGCATCTTTTCGATGATGGTTGCAGTAGTTTCATCTCAGTACATTAGAACTGTCTTGATATTTGTACTGAAGATTGTGACTTTGATATTGATTGGCTGTTTTTTGAGTTCCACATGTTCTCCAACTGTAGGAATGCTGTCATTGCCTTTACGTTTGCATCGAATCCTCCTTGTTCATCGATGATGGTGGCCGGATACGTGAAAGATTTCACCTCTTTTGATGTCTCTCCATCAAATGTGATTGGGTTGGTGCTCCCTGTGTTGTATTTGAGGATCCTACTTTTACCTTTGTGTATGTTTAGGCCTATTGATGCAGAGACTGCTGCTACTGCACTGGTTGTCTTGACCTGAATTTGTTTGTGTGTATGGGATAAAAGAACCAGATCATCCGCAAAGTCTAAATCGTCTAGTTACATGTAAGCTGTCCATTGTATCCGTGTTTCTTCTCAGATGTTGAGGTCTTCATCCTCCAGTTGATCGCCAGAAGAAAGGAGGAGAGTAAGCAGCATTGTCTGACACTGGTTCTCACTTGAAATGCACTATATCCAATAATATACAAACGCAAACATTTTCTGAGAAAATGATAAAACAAATAGACAGTATGATCTACAGATGAAATGAATCTTAGTTTTAATTTCTACAGTTAGTAATACAGAAGAGTCATAAGAAGTTAAAATAAAATAGTGACAGAAGAAACAATAAATTCACTAAAATAATGACATTTTGCGTTTTCATCTATTATAATCACTGAAACCGCCTACTGATAGTGTAGTTTTTTTGCGTTCAGTGAGGCGCAAGCAAATGCGTGCTCGTATTAGAGCATGATCCGATTCTAAACATGTATTCCAGTACTAGCGTCTTCTATCGAACCTTTCCAACGATGACTGATAGCAATATGGTCTGTTTAAGTCCATCGTTGGTTTGGTGCAGCGGGTTACCATGTTAGGCGATGTCTCTTCCTATGCTTGAAATTAGTGTTTGCTAAAAATAAACGATTGTCTGAGCACAGTTGCAACAAACGATCACCATTATATGTTCGTTGAACCGGGATACTAAAATACCCACTTAAACGTCTTTCTGTTTGATTTAAGCTACCTACTTGGGCATTAAAGCCACCTGCAACGAGTACTATGTCTGAGCGTTTAGCTTTATGAAGAAGTTCACAGAGCTCTCTGTCAAAGTCATTTTTCACTTCATCCGGGTTGCAATCAGTGGGAGTGTAGACAGAAACGACGAAAAGGCAACGACAACTGTCCCTATCCTTCCGAGTTCTTACGGAGCCATTCAGTCGAACAGCATATAGGCGACTGTTAACGGGGATCCACTCTAATAGTGCCTGTTCTGCTCTCGTACTAAGTGCTATGTCTACACCTGCCAGACCACGAAAATCAGCTATCGGGTCGCCAGATAAACGGAGGGTGTACCTTTTCGGATCCCCGTTTTGAAGAGGTGAGGTCAAGTGAATGACTACACTAAGATCCTGTATGCGTGTTTCAGAGACACAGCATACGTCAATGGTACGAGATTCTAGGGTTTTATCCAAGGAGGCTTGCTGGTCAACTTGACAATGTGTAGTTTGGAGCGAGGTTTCAGTAGACCTGGGACAGTGTTTCGTGCACTAGATTCGTTTGTCATGGTGATAGTCCATGTAGGAGGAATAACAGGAATTGAAGAGGGAAATTTATTATGAATCCAGTGGTCTTGAGTACTGTTAGAGGTATGAGGATAGTTATCACTTCCCGGTTTCCCACACCCCAGATAGGGTTCTTCTAGAGGTACCCGAAAAGGAAATTGGATTAGAAGTGGTCTTAGTGACATGAGAGCGTGACCGCGGTAACCAAGGGACAACTGCTTGTGGTCGGCCACACAAGGCCTTTATATGAGTAATTTTCGTGTTAGCTTCGTACTTGTTGAGACCTTACTGCCGGAGACGGGTATTCGTGAGATAAAACGAGGGGGGTGTTTTTAGTGTCGACCTTTTCTAACCCCACTCTTACTTGTAGGAAGGCAGAATCGCTGTTATGCTGGTTATCCGAAGGAAGCACCTTACTGCCGTCACACCCCTGTACAATCAGCACTACAACTTCGCCTTCAGACCTTGGGTTTGCTGCTTTTAGTCTTACCGCTCTTCAACCGACTTGAGAATTTTATTGGTGAGACTATAAACTTCCGTTAACTGAGATGGTTTCGATATTCTTTGTGGCTCCGCCTACCCCAATGTGCAATGCTGTTTGACATTGGAGGAAGTTGTAATAAAGCTGTTGGTCAACAGATTAAAACATGGCAGTCACTATAATCTGATTTATTCGTCACTATAGGCAAGCTCGGTCACCACGTCAATGTAGCCCCCAAATGCCCTGGTACGGCCGAGAGTGGGGAGAGTCCGCTCTCACTCTCAAAGTGCTCTCACATGGCCACGCGTATATAGCCTCTACCTGGGAAGTCCTACTCACTGCCTTCTCGTGGCGGGGGTGTTGTTCACGAAATTGGGAGGATGAAAAGTGAATGTCCGGCAATTTAACCGGGTTGGCGGACACAGTGAGTCCACGTAGGGGAGTTGGAAAACCCTGATTCCAAACCAAAGGTGCACATGGGCTCCAGTATCCGGAAGGAACGAATGGCATATGAACCTAGTGTTGGTCACCGGCTACCATGGGACTGCATCTCCTCACGATACTCCACTGCCTTGCGGTCCAGACCTTTAGGTCAAAGGCCCCGGGTATGGCCTCCTAAGAAAACCACCTGCTTCAGTTTGGGCACCCGGGCAGTATTCGAACCCTCACACAAATCAAATGAGTTTTGTGCAGCGCATATGTATCTGTACCAATATTCATGTGTTTAAATAATAATAAATGTCAAGGTGGCAGCAACCGTTGGATCAACTTGGTCATTTGGCAATCAGTGTCAGTAGTTATTACATATACCTTGCCCCTTTCAAGTGCAAAGTACTTTTACAAGACCGGTGGGACTCTGAACCTGCAATCACCCTGGGTACTGAGCTGATAGAAGTAGTCAAATAGTTCATAGATTTGGGTAGCTGTGTAAGTGCAGGTGGTAGGGTGAGTGATGAGATCAGTTCACGTATATTGAAAGGCGGAGTGTCTTATGCCAATATGGGCCATCTCCAGCGCTCCGTCATGTTAGTCTGGCTCTAAAAGGTCGGACCTACAACGCGTCAGTGAAAGCAAATTCGCTCTATGCTCATGAGACCTAGCCCCTCCGAGCTGATAATATTAGACGACTCTCTGTGTTTGATCATTGTTGTTTCTGAAGGATTGCTGACATGCAGAGGCAACATAATGTTGGTAATGCAGAGGTTCAACATCCTGTGTCCGGGTACAAAGATAATGATCCGTTTGGTTTTGCCATCTTAAAACATCGACTTTGGTGGCTTGAGCGTGTCGTACAAATGTCGCAGAGTATTTCATTTTGTGCATTATTTTCCGATGCTGAGACTGGTTTGGAAATGCGGAGAGGTGATCGGTGTATAACATGGTGTCGTGGTATGTAAGAAAGCTGTACAGGACTGACTTCTGTTGGTCCTTCACGACTCCTTGGTTTGTGTCTTAGAGATAGTACAACACAGCTGCTAGACGTTATCAGACATGGCTCAGAATAGAAGCCAGTGACGATCCTGCTATAACTTTCTACTTTTATCATGAAAGTAAACGTAACTTCATTAACTGAAAGAATTCTTCCTGGTATTATTTTACCTTACTGAATAGTTTCTCCCATGATTATTATTATTATTATTACTTCACACACTAATTTCTGTTGATTGTTCTTTTTATTGTTTATCTCTTCACATTCTTATTGTTATTGTGTGGCACAGATGTGTTTGCTGCCCCCTTGTACCAATATTTAAGTGTTCAAATAAATAATAACTCATGTTTTTAAATATGGAATACCAGATATACGGACGTAAGAAATAAAAAAAAATAACTGTAGATGTACTTAATTGTCTCAAAAGGATAGCTTCGGTAAAAGACAGTTGTATAAAAGAACGTAAAGCGGTGGCACACTAAACGTATTAGACGTCAATTATATAAAATAAGAGTAAAGTGTGTTGCAACAACACTTGGCATAAAATCAGAAGATAAAACTGGGGAATATTCTTGAAAAAATACTAACAAACTTTAAATTAGTTAACAGCAATTTATTTTCAGCAATAAACAACCTGAATCATTTGTTCCAAGTTGTCAATTTTTTTTTCGTGTCTTTTAACTGAAGTCAATTGATTTAATTTATTTTTAAAATGACACCCTGAAGTCTTAAGATCTATAACAATGTTCATTTCAAACCCTATTTTATCTAAGTTTGATAGTTGTTGATACTCGTTGAAATGGCACTTGTTTGATGCATTTTTCAATCACCATCTGTAAAGCTTGGTGTTTAGATTCTCTTTCAGTTTTTCATATTTTACTTGTACAAAATTTACATGGAATATCATCATGTGCTTACATCATATACCTTTTTTAAACTATCCACTCCACATTCTATTTAATAGATCCCCAAGAAGGGACATTTCTAGAAAGTTGTGGCGTTGCTGATCTTATTACAACTTGTTATGGTGGTAGAAACAAGCAAATGGGCATAGCATTAGCCACCACAAATGAGCCTTTAGCCCAATTGGAAAAAGAACGTTTACACGGTCAAAGTGCTCAAGGTCCTCTCACTGCTGCAGAAGTCTATGCAATGCTGGAACGCAAGGGTCTTCTTGAGAAGTATCCTATATTTACAGCTGTACATAAGTTGTGTACACGTCAGTTTGATCCAAAGAACTTTATTTGTTGTTTGGCTAATCATCCAGAGCATCGTTAAAAAAATCATATGTAGTGAAGGATTTTTACTTAGTCTTCCAGAACTTCATTTATCTATGTACTAGCTGGAACACTATCAGTAGGCAGTTTCAATGATTATAATAGATGAAAACGCAAAATGTCATTATTTTAGTGAATTTATTGTTTCTTCTGTCACTATTTTATTTTAACTTCTTATGACTCTTCTGTATTACTAACTGTAGAAATTAAAACTAAGATTCATTTCATCTGTAGATCATACTGTCTATTTGTTTTATCATTTTCTCAGAAAATGTTTGCGTTTGTATATTATTGGATATAGTGTTAAGAAATAAATCTCTAGAAGATGCATCAGCCTCTATGTTTATTATTTTCTTATCCCTGGAGTTATACTCTTATTCTGCTGTTAGTTAATATCCTGTAAGGATAAAAAATGGCATGCGAAATAAGTTGCGTTTAATTGTAAAAAGTAGAATTTGAGAAATTCATTTGATTGTTATATGCAGTATAGGCCTGTGTAAAAGCTTGTGCTGTACATTCACCATATAATGACTTTTCATATTATCATAAATAATAGTATTGATTAAGTGTCACCACAGTAATTAAGGTGTCGTACATGATCTACTTATTAATGAACATCGAATGATTTGATTCATATGCAATAATAAAATATGAGAAATATATTTTAATTTGCTACAACCCTCCACAAACGTAACATTTGACAAATGAATAAAAGGAATAATTTTGTAATATATTTTAGCAACAAGTCTTACTTACTTACTTTCGCCTGTTACTCCCAATGGAGCATAGGCCGCCGACCAGCATTCTCCAACCCACTCTGTCCTGCGTCATCATATAATTAATCATGATAAACAATAGCAGTAAAGCTAGCGACAAATCCAATCATAAATGTCATGTTCATTTGGTCCTTATTCTCTATCGAATATGGGCATTAGCTGTCCGCTATATTTTGGTGTTTGGTGGTTGAGAGCTACTGAAAGAACATCGTTCATTACTGAGTGGCTAGTTAATGTGACTTTCCTGCAACAAATCAGTCAAAAATCCAATAGACCAACAGAAACATATCCGTCATTAACACTAATGAAAGTAGATTTAATCTTACAAAGAGTATCATTTTTCTTACAATTACAGACAAACGTTTCTGATGACTGTCAACTAGAGCAAGAATCATGTTCAGGACCTTACAGCAACACCGTTATTCGTTACACAGTTTTTAATTTATGATATTGACAGTCTTTGAAATAAAAGTGCATTATCTGTCCCAATAATAGTGACCTAAATATATTTTAAACTGCCAACTAAGTGCATATTTCCTTCCTGATCATTATATTTTGAACATAAAGCAAATAGTAATAAGTATATTTCACTGCTCGCTAGTAATTTATTTGTTTATGCTTACCCACATGCGTCTCAAGTGAATTACAATCTAGGATTATCTGGTATTATTTTAATTATAAAGTAAATGATTGATTATCATAGATGTTAGGAAAGTTTAGGTTTTAAGTAGTCCGTAGACGTAGAAAATTCAGCATAATGTTCAGGTTTTTTGTTGTCATAAATGAAATTTTTGAATACAACTGTAGATTAGGTACCAATGTTACTAAAATGCTTCCCTTCTTAAAGTAAGGTTTAGATAATAATACTGTCCAGTAATTACGATTCGGCCTCGATCAAGCTTAATCTTCAAATGCCAACTAGTGTATCCGTCACTTCATTAGTACGCCAATACAGTTACACTACTGTTGAAGTATCATTATTCCAACTGCCATATTAACATCATCTGCTTATTTAATAAGTCTACTTAACATATTCAGAATATCGTTGGAAAAATGATAACATAAGTACTGTTCGTTTCAGAAGACAATTTAAAGAATATTCAAATGTTATGTGATACAACTAAGTCTTACTATTTTGTAATTACTTACTAAAGTAGTTTTTATCATTACGATATCAAGATTTGTGCTTAAATAGAAGGTTGAAACTTAGACGCAATACGTTTCAATTTACTGTTTGTATAAATAATTCAGTCGGTATTTGCGTCGTTTAGTTCATCTATACGAGTATTTCGATATCTATCTAATCCTATGAAAACAAACATAACCACTCTCCAACCAAACATATACTTGTAAAGATCATCTCGATGCCAAACCCTACACATAACTTTCACATATCACTGGGTCACTATACTGATCGTCCTGTGTCAATGTCACATCGAATAAGTATAAATATTATTTACAAATGTGAATTGATATTTGTCATTGTTATTGTCAGTCTCAAATGTCCACATCGTTCGCATAGTTGATGTGCATATTGGTCAAGGTTTCAATGAACAATTTGACATTGAATGACTCATATTCACACCATTCACTAAATCCAACATCTGAATGTGATTGGACGATTGTTTAGTATAGATTAAATTTGACTTTATTCACTTTCGATGAGTAATAAACATTGAGGCTCGGATCAGAATGTCGAGTGAAATCTTAAAACTATGTTATTTCGATAGTTGAGAATTCTACACATGTAATTTCATGTTGTCATCTAGAAAAAACAAGACCCCTCTTCCAACATACAAACTCGTCTGCATAACAAATTATGATGACTACATAAACATTTTCATGATTCCATCATGACTTTTAAGGCTATTGTCATCTTGGATGATGACCAGTAGTGGAATCCAGAACACACCTTTCGTTCTATTTACAAATCATCAGCTGGATTCCAATACTAGCCACCATCCAACTCTGTTTCTAATGCTTGTAATTTAATAACAATATCGAGGTCATCGTCACGGGATTCGTATATACCAGGAGAGACTGATTAATTGGAGTGTTAAACATCATTGACAAGATTCGTGTGACCAACACAAATTGATCTGTTTTCGTCGAAGTTAATTAGATGAGAAATTGACTAATGTGTTTGTTTATTGTTCATGTGTGGATTTGTTTGAGAATTACATTGTTAGTATACTATGTTCAGTAATAGCATGAATGCTCTAACAAACGATAATTTAGTATTAAAACATAGCAAGGACGACAACATTTGCAGAATATGATGAATTCCTTGCATTTCGTTGCATTCTCTTCAGGTACATACCAACTAATATGTTCAATTATTTCGAATTATTAAATAAATGTTGAATTCTATTGAACATAAGTTATGTGTAATATGAAATAATTTGAAATTTAAAGTCTAAAATATGGAGTTTTGTACCTGACGATAGTGTGTCTTTTTTTCGAAAGAAATATTCAATTTAGGAAATTCTGTTGTATTTACAATGGTCTAGAAATCAGCGCTTCACGGGTTGCTCTTACTAATATTTTGTTGCCAGTTGCTTGAATGAGTTTAAACAGGTTGCATCAGTTACCAAATTCAGCTGCTACTTCCATGTCGTCATCACACTTCGACCTCCAGGTTTATTATCCCTCATACATATTTTACCTCATTTCCTTACGTGAGGATTTATGTTCATCGTCAAACTGTCTGTTACCTAGTGTAAACGTTCGTGGCTGAAGGCGTTGTAAGAAGTTTACAGAAACATAGTGTTTCCAAGTTGGATGTTGCGCAAAGTTACCGCTCCGGTTACTCAGTTCGCCTTGTTTTGTTCGCTTCATCTGTTCTCCAGCTCTTGTTGTAATCTTTGAATCTCTATAGTTCGGCAACTTTCTCATAGGGAACACGATAATTGAAGCCTGACGATTTATTACTCTAATTCAATTTATTGCCCTAGTGACCTATTCGAAATAATTGAAATATTCTTATATGAATAAATTAACTATATTTGTGTTTTTAATGTCAGTTCATCATTTCTATCGGCCTATATATCACCAAGTAATATTTAACAGAATTAAAAAAAATCTACTTTTCATAATTCCTTTTTTACGTAATTATTAATGATCTTAAAAGTGAATCCCAGATGCAGGTGCATCCAGCTGACGAGTCCAAAATAGGACGAAACATGCGTCCTGGATCCCAATGCTAGCCGCTATCCATCTTTACTTATAAAAGCTTGTGACTTCAAGCAATATCGAGGCAGTCCACACAGGATGCACATATGCCAACAAGAGAATGATCAATTGCAGTCCTATATAACAATGGGAAGATACAAGTAAACAACACCAAGTGAACTTAAAAAAGGATAGTTTATGTAACATTGTATATAAATAAGACAATATAGATAGATAAAAACACGTTCCATTATATAACCTTATAAAGATTACGACGTATTATTTACAAGAGGGGAGAGTAACTGATTTCAAAAGTTATGTAATAATAAATGTTAAGCAAGTTAAAAATAATACTTCTAAATTCCTACTTTTTATATAAATAAAGTACATACAATGGTGAACTTAGCTTATTCATTTTGTACTAATAAAACATACATCACGTGGTTTTCAACATAACCTTGATATTTTATGGTGGGAGTTGTGGGCATTATTGAATAATGTAGTTTACCAATAATGTAAATGATAATTAACCCTTCTTATGTAACTAGATACGAATGATGAAAATTTTCAAAATACATTTTTAATAATTTAAAGAAGTACTTGCATTGAATAATATTGTTCGGAATACAATGGGTTCTGTAGACTAATGTCAACAAGATTAGAATATACCAATAAACAAATCCTTGTGATTTACAACTAACGATTTAATTATAGTTAAATATTGTTTCGAATAAAATTTCTTAGATTCCATTAAACGACTACATCCAAAAGGGATAGAATCCCTTAAATAGTAATGTCAATTTTAAAAATACATTTCTACTTTTAGAATTAATTGAGCCAGAATTATAATACAGACGTTGTGAAAATGACTATTTGGATAAATCATTTAAAAACCAAACAATAACTGAAACAGAAAGTGCTTCAGAGACGAGATCTCATTTCGGTGTTTTCATTCCCGAAAATAAGAAATCGCATACATGTTTAAAGTGTGCAAATTTGTTACTATTAGTTACAGAATAAAAACAGAATTTTAATTGATTTCATGAACCAACCA